TTTTTTCCTCTCACTTCTCTTTTTCTCTCCCCCCCCCCCCTTTTAACCCTTTTTGCTCCTTTTCTTTTCCCCCTTTTGCCCTTCCTGCTCTTTTTCCCCTCTCCCAACCCCTCTCTGCCTCTTCTCACACCCCAGACCCCCCCGAGGTGCAGCTGTGTGCCCAGGGCTGCCATTGCTATGGGACGTGGGGTCACTCCTTTCTTCCCAAGCAAAGACCCAGAGGAGCCCCCAGCCGTGTTTTAACACCTCTCCCCCCTGTTTTGCAGGCCGAATACGCAGCGGTGGCACTGAGATCCCCTTCCCCACCTTTGCAATGAGAAATAAAAGCAAGACAAGGGAGACCGCAGAGAAGCTCAGGGCGATGGGAGCCCGGCGGGCAGCAGCTCTGCGCTGTGGGGGTCTGCAGCTCTATGGGAACTCTGCAAAAAGGAAAAAAAAAAAAAAAAAGAGGATTTGGGGGAAAAAAAAAAAGAGGATTTCAGGGCTGAGTTCCCCGCTGTTGTTTCCTCACTGTGTGGGAAGAAATTCCAGCAGAAAACGCGTTCCTCTTCTGGCACATCCAAAGCGAACGATGGGGGATGACAGCATCGCCGCCATGCAGGCCTCTGGAAAAGCCCATTTCAGGCTTTTCTCAGCCCAAAGCGAAAGTGCTCTGGAAAAGAACTGTGCTCCCATGCAATGCCATTGCCCAGCACAGCCCCAGACCCCCTTCGCCCCCCTAAGATCCCTATGGGGGTCCGCTACGTGCTGCTTCCCAGCCCAACTTTCAGCCCATCCCCACCTCGTGCTGCCCCACATGACAGCCATTACATGGAAATGCTGGGGAAAATGGGAAAAGGTCCTTTTAAACCTCAGGAATGAAGCAAAGCTCCGTTTCTCTCCACCTTTTGCTTGCTGTGCAGCAGCACAGAGCTGCCATGGCACACAGTGGGGACGCTCGCGGCGCTCCCTGTCCTCAGGTCCCCTCTTTCTCCTTTGCCCCAAACACTCAGCTCTGTGCTGAGCGCATCCCCCTTCCTCCCTGCTTTCCCATTCCTGAATAGGAAGCTGCTCCCAAACGTTGGGAGCAAACGGTGCTTCCGTGCGACTCTGAGCAGCTGCTTCTGGGGGAGAAGAAGGGAAACGAACGCATTCCAGCCTGGAAACCACACGGGAGCGAGCGGGGCTGTGTTTAATTAAGAGAACAGAGCTTGCAAAGCAAATGGCTCCAACGTGCGGTTTCAGATCTGAGCCCCAGCGGTGCAGAGCTGCTCTCGGTGCCCATCTGAGCCTAAAAGCTGCCACAGAGCAGCGTGGAGTGGAGCCGGTGCTCCGAGTGCAGCGGATGTGGGCACGGAGAGTGGGAACCTGCAGCGCATTGGGTTTGGTGGTTGATTGAACCTCCGTTTAAAATGGCTTTATTTTTTCCACTCCCAACGTCTGCCATCGCGCCGCTCAGCCCAGCCCAAAGCCAGCGCTGTTTACAGAGCAGCAGGGAAGGGCAGGAAAGCTCTGTTTAGGAGAGAAATTCCTGCAGAAAGAACAGAAATCCCCGGGAAATGCAGTGGGAAGAGTGCTCAGCTCTGTGCCCACTGGTCCCGGTCACACCATGTCCCCATCCCCACGTGCCCATCCCCATCCCAATCCCCACTTCCATCCCATTTCCCATTCCATCCCTCTCCCCACCTCCATCCCATCCCCATCCCCATCCCATCCCCATCCCCATGTCCCCATCCCCATGTCCCCACCTCCATCCCATCCCCATCCCCATCCCCATCCCCATCCCCATCCCCATCCCCATCCCCATCCCCATCCCCATCCCCATCCCCATCCCCATCCCCATCCCCATCCCTACCTCCATCCCATCCCATCCCCATCCCCATCCCCATCTCCATCCCATCCCCATCCCCATCCCCATCCCCATCCCCATCCCCATCCCCAT